CTACCAGCCTATCACAATACCATCAGTCCCGCGTTCACCTATGATCTATGATAGTCTGTCTACCTTATATTGTAAGCATTAAAGGTGATATTGCCCTACGTGTAAAGTCATAGTTTCGTAATGATGCAACCTCCAAGCAGACTGTAACAGGCTCGCGTTCGAACTGCACAGCTAACTTCTAAAGCCGTGCAGATATTACGTGTATAATGGATTTAGGCGATGGCAATAGACATTGGTTGTTTACACAGAAATATTTTAGTTGTACCTCTATATACAAGGTGTATCAAAAAGCGAAAAATCGAATAGCTCGGTCACGTGCTTAGACACGATAGATATTCACTGCTTCAACTGATCATGATGGGCAAAGTGGAGGGCAAGAGACGTGCTGGGCGCAGAAGAAAATCGTGACTGCGAAACATCCGGGAGTGGACCGGCATTACATCTGTCGAACAATTGTTCCGCATGGCTACCGACAAGGAGAAATACAAGAAGCTGACGGCCGACCTTCAACATTGAAGAGGCACTATAAGAAGAAGAAGAATACAAGGTGTTGTAAAGCCGCGTCATTTTCTAGGAGGTAACTCGGCTATAGATTCTAAGTCTGATCAATAAAGAAATTGTAGGTAAATACTTTTCATTTTTCTGTAAATTACGGAAATCCGTAAGTGCGAACTACACGCCGCCGTCTTGTAACTAGCTTTATAACGCGACTTAACACACACAAACTAAAAAACGTAATTGATATTATTCCTAATTCCATAAAACTCCAATAAGAAACATTGCTGTCGCTTATTCTGAAATACTGTCGAACTTAAACGATTTATTATAGCCGTATTTTTAACTATTGGCCTGAATTTTTTTCTTACATTGAACCTTTATGACCTTTACAGTATAACATAATCATATCTTTTTATAACATAAGATAATGTATTGTAGCCGAAGGTCTGTCTGTCTGTCTATTTGATACGTTTACTGTCGGATATAATGCCTTTTCTTTCTTCTTTCTTTCTTTTATGTGAAATAGTTTTTGATTTATGCCTCATTGGCCGAGTGGTCGCAAGTGCGACTGCCGGGCAAGGGGTCTCGGGTTCGATTCCCGGGTCGAGCAAAGTATTAGGGGTTTGTAAAAACCTCAGTAGTAGCACGGAGTCTGGAAATGTGCCCGGTATATGGCAATAGGCTCACCCCCTATTACATGGGACTCATAACATAAATAGTGAAAAGTGGGTGTTACATTGTACAGTGGCATTAAGTGCCGTAATGTGCACCTCTGCCTACCCCTTCGGGGATAAAAGGCGTGATGTTATGTTATGTTAGTTTTTGATTTATGAGGGGGTCAAAAGTGGCGCCAAACGGATCGTGTAATATTACACAGGGTGCGGCCAGTTCTCTTCTAAGCCGAGTTCTCTTGAACTTGGCTTTTCGGCGATCATTGATAGCAATAGAATTTTAACAATAAACAACACTATGGACACGTAATAAGACTGGCAACCTCTTCACAAGTTTCCCGCCAATTGGCAGAGTCACTGCGGCCGCGTCAAGTGTCTTCCATCTAAACTGACAGGGGGTTAATTAAAGAGCGAGACGGATATACAAAACTATCGCGCGTGGGATAAGGATGCAAGGTATTCGAATTTCAATTCTCTGTTGGCTGTTGAACGTGGTATTAGCACTGTTTTGGAAATATAATAATTGTTTAAAATTACTTAACACGTATTGATTCACAACTTGGATTTGGATTTAACTGCTTTGTAAGTACTGATGTCCTAACAGTAGAACTTAGATATTATATCGAAACTCTTAGATGACTGCCTCGTTGGCCGGTCGCAAGTGCGATTGCCGGGCAAGGGGTCTCAGGTCCGATTCCCGGGTCGGGCAAGGTATTACTGGGTTTTTAAAAATCTCAATAGTAGCACGGAGTCTGGAAATGTGCCCGGTATATGGTAATAGGCTCCTATTACATGGGACTCATAACATAAATAGTGAAAATTGGGTGTAACATTGTACAGCAGTGGCATTAAGTGCCGTAATGTGCACCTCTGCCTATCCCTTAAGGGAAAAAAAGCGTGATGTTATGTTATGCTACTTAGATGAAAACATTCAAGTGGAAACCATCTTGATTCCAACTAGGCCTTTGACCATGTAGATAACAATAATTACTTGATAGTAAATTCAATGACATAGGTTTTTCACCAATTTTTTTTATGGCATAAGACGTGAAACGAGCACACACCTGGAACACCAGAGGCGATACAAGTGCGTTACCGGCCTTTTGGGGAATACGAGTTTGAGCATCGTTGGTGATTCAGGAATTGGGGAGATTGCGGAAGGGGAGGGTAATTGGGCCTCCGGTAATCTCACTCACACGACGAAACACAACGCAAGCGTTGCTTCACGTCGGTTTTCTGTGAGGCCGTGGTATCACTCCGGTCGAGCCGGCCCATTCGTGCCGAAGCATGGCTCTCTTTTAAAAAAACGTATGTTCTACAATGTCTCTGATACATATTCTAATACTGTACGTATGTCGCGGAGAACCTAACTGGGTTACTGGCGCTCCGGCTCGACGTGCAGGAGATGGAACGGGGTGGTTTTTAGTCAGTAAGAGTCTGACACTCCCTCCCGCCTTACCACTGACAAACGGTGAAGGAAAACATCGTAAGGAAACCTGGGCTTATAATTTCTACTTCTAAGTTTGAAATCACCAACTCGCATTAAGCAAGCGTGGTGATTAATGCTCAAACCTTCTGTTGGAAGAGGCTTTGCTCAGCTGTGGGCATTCATAGGCTGTCGATGATGATGATTGACGATGAACAAGATGTGGATGTCGTGGAAAGAAATAAAACCAGATTCAGTTAGAAATATTCCACAGTTTAATCTTGATGTTTAACGGTCTTAACATCGAGACACAGTCAGAGTCACACACAACAAAAGTAAAAAATATCAAAATGTTCCATAACTAACTAATTGTGTTTAAAAAAATATCCATACTTTTACAAAACACTATTATAATAAAGGTCATCGCACTTATAAAAAGCACGACTCCGGCGCGGTTCCGGAACGGCGTTGTTTCTAATTAGCCTACCGCTAGCCGCCAAGTCAGCGCGCTTACGCCACCGCCCGTGAGTTGTAAGCGCGCCGCCCGTGAGTTGTAAGCGCACCGCCCGTGAGTTGTAAGCGCACCGCCCGTGAGTTGTAAGCGCACCGCCCGTGAGTTGTAAGCGCGCCGCCCGTGAGTTGTAACCGCGCCGCCCGTGAGTTGTAAGCGCACCGCCCGTGAGTTGTAAGTGCGCCGCCCGTGAGTTGTAAGCGCGCCGGCCGTGAGGTGGAAGCGCGCCGGCCGTGAGGTGGAAGCGCGCCGCCCGTGAGTTGTAAGCGCGCCACCCGTGAGTTGTAAGCGCGCCGCCCGTGAGTTGTAAGTGCGCCGCCCGTGAGTTGTAAGCGCGCCGGCCGTGAGGTGGAAGCGCGCCGCCCGTGAGTTGTAAGCGCGCCGCCCGTGAGTTGTAAGCGCGCCGCCCGTGAGTTGTAAGCGCGCCGCCCGTGAGTTGTAAGCGCGCCGCCCGTGAGTTGTAAGGGCGCCGCCCGTGAGTTGTAAGCGCGCCGCCCGTGAGTTGTAAGCGCGCCGCCCGTGAGTTGTAAGCGCGCCGCCCGTGAGTTGTAAGCGCGCCGCCCGCTTATTGTCACCACGAGTATAGTATCATGCTCTCGCTTCGTTCGAGCCGCAAATGCCTTGGGCTTCTGTATCGATTATATATAATACTAGCAGCCCATCCCGGCTTCGCACGGGGTAGACATTTATTTATTTTTGTAAATTTGGATTGTTGTAGTGACATAACTACAATAGTTGGACATATATGCTACCGTGGAGTTTTTTGTAGACATTATGATGTTCTTTAATATTGTTGTACATTATTTTGTTCTATCGCTTATAGTTTCAGACATTTTAAGACTCATTTTTCTACACCTTCGGTTACATTGTTCAAATTTTACCAAGGATCCCTATATTTTCCAAAATCGCATTCTATTGGTGAAATAATTTTTTAAATCGGCTCAGTACTTTTTGAGCCTATTCATTACAAACATACAAACATACAAAAATAGGTACAAATCTTTCCTCTATATAATATTAGTGTAGATACAACATGTAACTTAAATAACGCACATCCTGAAAATAGTTTGTTCAGAATGGTTAACTGAATCGATTTATATAATGTTTAGTATAGGTAATTTTTTATCCCAAAAATAATTAAAACTACGGTAATTATTGTCATATAATAATTTATACTATATGTAATGTCGCGGAGAACCTAACGGGTAACCGGGGCTCCGGCTCGACGTGCAGGAGAAGGAACGGGGTGGTTTTTAGTCAGTAAGAGTCTGACACTCCCTTCCGCCTCACCCAGGCGGAAGCAGTCATTAGATGATTTTCCCCCCTTAAAAAAAAAAAAAATACTATATGTAATAATTTATATACATATGTCACTACAATACAGGGTTTCTGTATTGTTAAAACAAATCGAAATGGACCGTAAGTCAAAGCAATAAGACTTTTAAAATCGCAGTTTTATATGTATTCATACAAATTCTATCATTAATTAAAATAAAGAAATAAAGAAAAATAAACCTTATGACAATACTAGTAAGGATGCATATACATGTTAAATTCAAAATTTAGTGAATGTATAATGATTATAACATAATATTCTAATTGGGGTGTTTGAGGGTGTGCGTTAATTACATTACATGTTGTATAATAGAATTGGTTCTATTTTCTTTCTACACAATATCTGGCGATTGCATTATAGATTCTATTTTTTATTTGAATATAAACTTTTTGGTTTTATTTGCGAGAGAAGTAAGTATACTCACAAGTTGCTTCTATTGTTTTCTTGACAAAATTCTACTATAGTGATGAATAGTTAGAGAATTGTTGTCAACATCATCGTAAAAACTGGTTTCCGGTTTTATACACTCAAAACCGAAATTAAAAACCGGCACGTCCCCTATTTGTGCTCTTCGCTTCGAGCGGATTCCAAATATATAAGTGGATATTTAAACGCCCATTTTCCATGATCTCTATTTATCTTACTATATTTCGGCTCCTTATAATACACATTTCTGCGTGACAGATTTTTAAGAAGACCCCACAACCTTTTTATTTTGGGTCTTGGAGGGTAGCGTGTTCTAGCGTTCCTGTATCTATGAGCAAGCATTGGATCTATAACTTTCATTTGTTGTCCGTACGCATTCAATTGAAATATAAAACTATTATCAAAATCTATTTCCACATAAAAATTTAATTCAATGAATTGTGTTCCGCTATAGCACACTACAGTTGTCTGATCTCCTGCGCACCACCTGCGAACCATTAATTTAGGTTTGCCAACTTTATCGGGAGGATATTGCGCTTTGATTTCCATGCACGAGTACTCCATGCCCGCAACGAGCGTCAACTGAAACAAAAATACCATAGTTAATTCCCTGAAGGTATCATGATCATGCCATGCGGGAGCTTGTACCTACTATGTATAACATACATAGGTGCAAGGCTCTCATCAATACAAATTATTCAAGTCCAAACACCCGGTAGTTACTGTTAACCATCGAGGAGTTCTCTTAGACCCTTAGTTATCATACTACTTCATCATCTGGCCCCTGATTCCAATCACACCCCATCTAAGTACACGGGGTCATAGTTGTACATTCAGTCAACAAAGTACAACAGGATGATTTGAAATACTCAAAAAATACCATCCAGTAACCACCATATGCACTAGGTATGGCTCCTGCTGACTTTTTTCTTTTTCCTAAACTCTCGAATTACCACTTCGTGGCACCCGTTTTCAATCGATGGAAGACATAAAGGAGAATTCGCGGCAAGAACCGAACTCAATTCCGGAAGCAGCGTTTAAAAAATGTTTTGATGAATGGACTATTCGTTCGGCGCAAGTGTATCGTTTCTAAAGGAGCATACTTTGAAGGTGACAAATATAAATTTGGATGAATATTAGCCATTTTGTGTATTATTGATCTTTTCCCGGTACTTTCTTGACAGAGTATAGTATATCCTCGAGGAGTTTCTTCGTCTATCTCTTGGCTCCATCATCAGATCGACTCCACTAGAAAAGCACTACCTGCATCTGCAATTGACTGTACGACAGACGACAGTCGACAGTCAACCTATTCGAGAGCATGGTTAACACGATGGCTGGGCAACCGGCTGCCGCGCTACGTTTACCGGGTTTGATTCCGGCACGGAGCTCTTCTTGCGACTCTTTGTGTGATCCATAAATTGTTGTTTCAGGTCTGGCTGTCATGTGTATGTGAAATTATAAGTTTGTAAATGCAACTACGACACAGGACAAAATTCAAGCGTATTGTACTTTGAGAGTATAACTTTTCCGAAGAAAAAATAGATTTGGAGTAATTGCGTTACACACACAAAAAACATACAGACGAATTGAGAACTTTTTTTGTGTGAGAGGGGCCATGCTTCGGCACGAATGGGCCGGCTCGACCGGAGTGATACCACAGCCGAGCAGAAAATAGACGTGAAACAACGCTTGCGTTGTGTTTCGTCGTGTGAGTGAGGTTACCGGAGACCCAATTACCCCCCATTCTCCCCAATCCCCGAATCCCCCACAATCCTCAAACTCCTAATTCATAAAAGGCCAGTAACGCACTTGTAACGCCTCTGGTGTTTCGGGTGTCCATGGGCGACGCCGATTGCTTACCATCAGGTGATCCGTCTGCTCGTTTACCAGCTTATCCCATAAATAAAACCTTCTTGGAAAGTTAGTTAAAATACATTACGTTATATTTATAGGATCCTTGTACATCTTTGGAGATTTCTGTTTCATCTGTGAATATATCATACTGTTTTTCTTCTTTATCACATTCACCAAATCGCTGTATCTTGGAAAAAGCTGAAACAATACACAACAATATGAAGGCGGCTAATGAAAGTAATATAAATAAAAACAGCTTTTAAAAAACCGAGTTAAAAAATTTAAAATATAGAGGTATAAACTACGATAAACAAAAAAATAACTATTATTGGTCATGCCATATGAACTAATGGATTACCTACGCACCGATAGGTAAGAAGTCGGTGTCAAATTTAAAACAAAATTATCTGTTAAATCCTTAATAAATAGCTAAAACCACTTTTAACTATTTATGTTAGATATACTAGCGACCCGCCTCGGCTCCGCACGGTTGGAATATGCATATATTATACATACATATAAAACTTTCTTAAGAATCACTCTATCTATTAAAAAAACTGCATCGAAATCTATTGCGTAGTTTTAAAGACCAAAAAGCATACCTACATGGAGACAGACAGACGGCGGATAGCGACTTTGTTTTATACTATGTAGTGAAGTCCCATATAATAGAGGGTGAGCCTATTGCCATACTGGGCACTATTCCAGATTCCGTGCAACTACTGAGATTTTTTTTAAAACCCAGTAATACTTTGCCCGGCCTGGGAATCGAACCCAATACCTCTTGTCCGGCAGTCGAACTTGCGACCATTCGGCCAACAAAGTAGTCCCCTTAATATCTATTAAGGGCTACCTAGTAATTAAAATGTCAGTAGGTAATCCAGAAAAACGAGTTACAAGTAGGTATAGCCGACAACCGAATCTGTCAGTTAGCTGTATGATCAATTGGGCAAAGCCCGAAACAGATTGTTTCACAATCGACGGTTGAATGTAAAGTTAGGATCTTCTATGTTTGACTAAAATACTTTAGACAAAGGTTGAAATTGTACTAATATATTCTTTGGGATTTTTTAAGGGGGGAAAATCATCGAATGACTTCTCCCGCCTGGGCGAGGCGGGAGGGAGTGTCAGACTCTTACTGACTAAAAACCACCCTGTTCCTACTCATGCACTTCGAGCCGGAGCCCCGGTAATCCGTTAGGTTCTCCACGGCTCCGTATCGTAGGCCCCATCCGTGTTGGTCTGATGGCTCTTTGAGGCGCGCGCGGTACGCGCCGCGCCGTGCGCAGGCCCGTGCTTACAGTGGCCGGAGATCGTATATTCTTCGGGATAGACTGGCTTTGGGTAAACCTAGAACAAAGCAGTAATTCCGCGAAGACTTTTCTCATGAGATAAGCCGGTAAACAAGCAGACGGATCACCTGATGGTAAGCAAGCGCCCATGGATATCTGGAACACCAGGAGCGTTACAAGTCCGTTACCGGTCTTTTGTGGATTAGGAATTTTAGTATTGTTGGATATTCAGAGATTTGGGAGATTGGGAAAGAAAATATAACGCAAGCGTTGTTTCACGTCGATTTTCTGTGAGGCCGTGGTATCACTCCGGTTGAGCCGGCCCATTCGTACCGAAGCATGGCTCCCACACTTAAGAGACTGCATAGACTATGACAAGGGAAACTACGTAAGAGTTGCTAGGGTTTAATAAAACATGAACCTACTTCTTCGCATGACGAGGTGATTCTCCGCAACCGTGGAGATAGAAGGCTTCCCAATATCCTCGAATGACTCTTTCACCCACTTGTGGTACATGCCGTAGTCTAGGAACCTGGCCGGGGCCTGACAACCAGGGCCATACACTCCGAAACCCAACTGCAAATCATCAGCAAAAGTCAGAACACGATGCAATTAATTTAGAAATAGTTTCTGTAATGTGAGTTTAATTATACACCATCAAATCGTAACATGACGTGTAATAACTGTATTAATGATTATGTTTTTCGGCTTACTCACGTATTTCTTTGACGGATGCTGTTCATGAATAAAGCCTTTAGTATGGCTTGAAACTATTGGAGTCCCTCGACAAACAATTACGTGAGGACAGTAAGCCAAAAACATAATAATTCGTTTAGTATGTCTCACTAAAGTTATAATATGCTGAGTTTTTAAGGGACAAGCCCACCACAACCTCCCAAAACCGCTGCAACTCCTGTAAGCCAGGATCTACAGTAGATACAACCATGAAAACACCGGAACATTGAAGTCCCGGCGTGTTCCAGGGACATGAGTAACTGTCTTGGTTCCCGCAACAAAGTGAATCAGAAGATATTTTAAGAGGAGAAGAAGAAAAAACGATGGTTTCCACTTCCCTCGGTGAATTACTGCAGGAGACATAATGAATTAAGCCTAAAGGCACAAACAAGAGACTGTACAACCGGGTAAAGCCCAGTCGCCAAGCACCATGGAAATTTGACTAAAAACTAAGTGGGCCCTATGTGTGAGCTGTTATACTTGCTTCCAATAATAGGTATGGCAAAAACGCCTAAACGCACGGAAATTCGTTCTGGATTCCACAAGGTCCGTATAATAAGCTATATTTGATGAAACAATTAAATTATTTAACATAGCGTTACGTTCATATTGCCAGAGATCACACTCCCAGAGTATGTGATGGGCCGACTGCTCGTATTGCAACTCCTCTGTCGAACATTGTCGAATATGCTGAGCTGCTGAGACTACCATGATTGAGAAGATATCAGGGTAATGTAGAACAAGTCCTACTTGTCAGACAATAATGGTACTTTACCAGTCTCCACCGATGATCCACCCTGGTGACGAGTAGGGCACCACTACGCCACACGCATTCACCTCCTGTCACACTCTGGGCACATGTCGTGTGTGACGGCCATAACGTGTCAAAATCCAGCTGAAAAAAATCGACTTCTAAAACCAAAAAATAGTGAAACCAGCGGAGTTACATGCATTGCCGATCTTCGACGGGGGCATGACAAAACTCTTCGTATTCAGTAAAGTTGACGATTGAAGGAGTACTATTGAAGTGGCCGATGTCCAGCAATATATAGAAACAGCGATGACGATTGAACTAAACATACCCCTGTCCGTCTGTAGTAGCTCTTGCAGTGGTGAAATGGTACGTACTTCATTTTGTATATCGAAAGTTCACCTTTTTGGCAATCTATAAAAATAAAATAAACAAAATAATATAATTTTATGTGTGTTCTGCGCAAAAATAAATGGTTTTTCTTTCTAAATTGATTTCATTTATCCACATAGTTGGATAGCTATCCATAATATATAGCTATCATTTACAAATCAATCATATCTTATGACTTATTTTAAGGACCACTATTTGATTGCATAATAATGAATATACCGGACGCAATTTATTTTTGATTATCATATAAGTAACTTCCTAATTTTGTGACATCAAATTTATATTTATTTCTTGTTTATCTCTGTAATGATAACTATTGTTGTACAAATTGCTGATTTTAATGAAATTGAATATAATTTGTATACCTATAAAACTTGTACGCCACTATTGGCGAAACATGGACGCACTACACACTATTTAATATCTTGTATATCTGACTACTTATAAACGCATGTTTGACATATAAACGATCTTTCTTTCTTTCTTTATTTCTTAGATGAGTGTCAATAGCAACAGAGCTTATTCTATGTTTACGGAGTAAGAGTCTATTTTATGTTTACGGCGCGTTTTTGGCGCTGCGCTCTGATTGGCCGGCTCCAATGAATGGACCAATTAGAGCGTCTAACGCGGTCTCATTTCTGTCTCGTTAAACGTGCAGCGAACTCATTGATACTAACCACTCTGATATTAGGTTTAAGTTTATACAAAGGTTTATTAAACATAATTGTTTCCCTCGTCATTTCTACCTGTTCCCCTCAATACCTAATACTGTCAACTGGGACTGGTCAGGTCCAGACTGTATTTTGTTGTCCTCAAGATATTTTACTTTTTCCGTCTCCTTGACTATAGAGGTATATTGGTGTTACATTGTTCTAACATAATTGAACTTAACGAAACAATGTAACCAAAAATTGTATTATGAACCCGATTGAAAAAGAGTAACCTATGGAGTTTTTTTGCTTGTTCTTTTCCATAGGAATCAACACTTTGGAACGAGCAAATAGGTTCATTAGAGGATTGACCTACAGACTGACATTTTTTCTTATTATTTAAATAAATATTTTAAATATAAGTTAACTTAAGTGTGGGAGAGCCATACTTCGGCACGAATGGGCCGGCTCCATCGGAGTGATACCACGGCCTCACAGAAAACCGACGTGAAATAACGCTTGCGTTGTGTTTCGTCGTGTGAGTGAGGTTACCGGAGGCCCAATTACCCTCCCCTTTCCCAATCTCCCCAATCCCTGAATCCCCAACGATCCTCAAACTACTAATCCCCAAAAAGCCGGTAACGCACTTATAACACCTCTGGTGTTCCAGGTGTCCATGGGCGACGCCGATTGCTTACCATCAGGTGATCCGTCTGCTCGATTAGCGGCTTATGCCATAAAACAAATTTTTTGACGTTCAAAAGTGCCTTCCTGGTCTAATTGAAATAAATGATTTTGACTTTAACTTTGAATACATACCATCGTCTAACAGCATCGCGTAGAAAGTGTCATTCTGAAAGTTCATTGGTGGTCCACATATCGGTTGCAGTTCTATAAAAATAAAGGAATATACAAGGTGTTGTTTTAAAGCCGCGTCATTTTCTAGGAGGTAACTCTGCTATCGATTCTGAGTCCAAATCAATAAAAAAATTTGTAGGTAAATATTTATCATTTTTCTGTAAATTACGAAAATCCGTAAGTGCGAACTACACGCCGCCGTCTTGTAACTAGCTTTATAACGCGACTTAACGCGCACAAACTCAAACACGTAATTGATATTATTCCTAATTCCATAAAACTACAATAAGAAACATTGCTGTCGCTTATTCTGAAATACTGTCGAACTTTAACGATTTATTATAGCCGTATTTTTAACTACTGGCCCGAAACTTTCTCTTACATTGAACCTTTATGACTTCTGTGACATGCCCCCTAGAAATGCCACGGTTTCAAAACTACACCTTGTATATCACACACACGCACACACATATATACAGTGACTTTGTAGTCTTACAACAGGGTAGATGACTAATGTTATTTTAAAATCCGTCTGGTAGATTATTTTAAAACATTAGACAAGTGTTTTTTATTTTGGTACAGAAACGAATACTTTCGACGATATATTGGTTTGAAATGGCGCGTGACGTCACTTCTATGTACATTTTATACGTAGAAATGACGTTTTAGCCCCCACTCCTAAACTTTGATTCGTTTTATCTAAGTATTGTTTTATTATACAACAAAATAAAAATATACGTGTCTAATATTTTTTCATTATCTAACTAATTAGACTAATTAGACTTTTAATTTTCATACCCTGTCATCATCCCTACTGCTGCCCAGTTCATGTTTTGTTGCAAGACATAGATGTCTCTGAAGATACTCACTAAAAGAGATGTGATCAGTTTCAAGCTGGATCATAGCTAGTGCATTGACCTTGTCTTTGAAGAAATCCGAATGATAGGTGTACTCTCGTATGCGGATATAAGGACTCTCTCCTCTGCAGTTTCTTCCAATGATCACTCGAGCTTGGGCCCTAGTCAACAAAACACTGAAATGTTACTCTGTTTTTTTTTATGGTATAAGCCGGTAAACGAGCAGACGGATCACCTGATGGTAAGCAATCGGCGTCGCCCATGGACACCTGGAACACCAGAGGCGTTACAAGTGCGTTACCGGCCTTTTGGGGATTAGGAGTTTGAGGATCGTTGGGGATTCAGGAATTGGGGAGATTGGGGAAGGGGAGGGTACTTGGGCCTCCGGTAACCTCACTCACACGACGAAACACTTGCTCATTGGTTAATTATGCAGGACTATCATAGCTTGTCAGGCAGGTTAAAGCTATCAGGTCATCGATAACTGAATATTAGATTTAATAATAGGCTATGTTTACTCATTTGACATTACATTTCTTTTTCTTACTTTTTTTTTTAAAACGTTGCCCCACTCTAGGATTCTCTCCTGTGTCGTGGGTGCGTTTACAAACATACAAGTTCATATACCTACACATGACACTCAGACCCGGAACAACAATTTGTGGATCACACAAAGTGTTGTTCCGTGCGGGAATCGAACCCGCGACACGTTGCGCGGCAGCCAGTTGCCCAACCACCGCGTCAACCATGCAGTCATTACATTTGAAATGTCTAGATCGGCTCGCACGCCGCGGCGCCACTTGCAAGTACCTACGTCATGAACTACTGCGCTATAGTGCTATATCATTACGCTACGTCACAAGAAGTTATCTCAGATCAAAGTTGTTACAATTACCTGAAGTGTTCCTTGGGCAATTTATCAATTTCATCAGCAGATGCAAGCGCCATCTGCCTGGTGACCAGTACCACTGAGGTTGTGAACAGTTTCTTACCTATATATTAAACAAACATATAATATAGACATTCCTTATATGTACAAAAGGTAATAATTAACTAAGAATCGCGGGTTACTCACGTGAATATAAGTACTGAAAAAGTCTTCGGCCTACTTAGAGTAACCGCGCAATATCTAGTTAATTAAATTATCACGATAGTTATACTTGTGTTAATTTGGTTACCTTGGGTAATTTGGACCCAATCCCCATGACAACGGGTTGATATTGACCGGGACGTCCCGGAAGCAACCCGGAGTCATGGGGGCTGGGTCTGTCCCAGCCGTGCTGCTATTAACCGCGCGTGAAATATGTATATTGAATCGGTTGAGCAGGAGAATAATAGGAAACAAAAATAACATAAAATTAATCAAAAATCGCGGGTTACTCACGTGAATGTAGTGAGAAAAGCTCTACTAGTTTCGAGCCACAGAGGGGCTCTTCCTTATGAGCAGCGTGCGCGGTCGCGGCGATGTCGCACAGCAGTAGCTCGAAACTAGTAGAGCTTATACGCTTACGAAACTCGCAATTTTTAGTATGTCTCACGATAGTTATTATAAAAATAAAACACTTAGTTACCAAAAATCCCATTTTTAAAGGGGGTGGGGGATCATCGAAAGACTTCTCCCGCTTGGGTGAGGCGAAAGTTAGTGTCAGACTCTTACTGACTAAAAACCACCCTGTTCCTACTTTTGCACTTCGAGCCGGAGCCCCGGTAACCCGTTAAGTTCTCCGCGGCTATCAAAAATCCCATAGACGTATAGAAAGGCAATACCTACCTATAGGATAGGATAGTAATCCAAACCAAGGATAATCCTCAATTTTGGCTGTACTCATATACAGATGCGATGTTGGTGACCTGTCGATGCCGCAGTAGGAAGACAGCACTGGATGTAACAAATATTACAAGAAGTGAGTTCATTTACAAAAAAAAAGAAAAAACAAAAAGCAATCGACTTACGCCCGTCGATAGATCAACGTCTAAATAAAATTAAAAAAGTTTATGCTTTTACTGAGAAAAATTGATTAAGTAATGAAACCAAGAAGGTAAACAATAATATCTACATTCATGTATACACTTACCTTGACTGACATACGACGATATACTGAACAAAAATGGTAGTAAACGCATCCTTGACAACATTATTAACACTTCAAAACATTTAAAAAAAATCTAGTAACATCTTAATGTGACTGTAATGTTATAGATAACATTTGTTCTAAATAGTTATAAACCAGCACTAATGGAGCTGAAGGATCGACTCCATGTTTATTCGAACCGTTCTCTTTAAACAACACTCGAGTATGAAAACTCCAACAAAATGCGACCAATTCGATGATTGTTGTACAAATGGTTTATTTGTAAATTCTCCTGGTAGAGTAACAAACAGATTAGGTATTATCCAATATCCGGTCAAAACAAACTTAGAGAGCTGAACATCTTCATACACAACGGTCGACAAGTGCTATGACTAATGTTTTTTTTTCTTATGGCATAAGCCGGTAAACGAGCAGACGGATCACCTGATAGTAAGCAATCGGCGTCGCCCATGGACACCTGGAACACCAGAGGCGTTACAAGTGCGTCACCGGCTTTTTGGGGATTAGGAGTTTGAGGATTGTTGGGCATTCAGGGATTGGGGAGATTGGGAAAGGGGAAGGGGAAGGTAATTGGGCCTCCGGTAACCTCACTCACACAACGAAACACAACGCAAGCGTTGCTTCACGTCGGTTTTCTGCTCGGCCGTGGTATCACTCCGGTCGAGCCGGCCCATTCGTGCCGAAGCATGGCTCTCCCACACTTATTTTGTCTTCCCCCCTTATAATATCCTCTGATTCACTTCGTTGCAGGAACCAAGACAGTTATGTCCCTGGGACGCGCCGGACTTCAGTGTTCTGGTGTTTTCATGGTTGTATCTACTGTAGATCCTGGCTTACAGGAGTTGCAGCGGTATAGGAAGGCTGTGCGGGATTGCCCCATTAAAAAAAAAGTGCTATGACGATGAGTAAATGTGTCCGCGACGAAAATATACGCAATATATCTACATCACTATCAACACTAATATTAACTAAATTTAATAAAAGACCTAATGACGAGAGATTAACTAAAGAGCAAAGATTTAATTGTTTGTTTGTCTGTTTGTTTGAATTGAATAGGCTCGGAAACTACTGGACCGATTTGAAAAATTCTTTTATCATTGGAAGCTTAATTATCCGTAATGAACATAGGCTATATTTTAATAGAGAAACAAAAGGGAACCATGTAAATATTTCGATAATGTAACCCATAGCGTACCAATGTTTAGGCCAGGTAATTTATTAAATTAAATTAAAAACCGACCGGACTGTATAAGAAATATATTATAGACGTGGTTATAGTAAACTCGGTACAGCTGTTTCGCTCGTCGTCGCTTGGTGAAGTGCTGTGTTGGGCGCGGTCGCTCGGCTTCCTCAGTCGCCCCGCGCCTCCCCCGCCCCGCTTGTAGCCTGGCCCTGTCCTTGTTCTAGTGTGCGTGAAAATGTAACACCCACTTTTCACTATTTATGTCATGAGTCCCATGTATTAGGGGGTGAGCCTATTGCCATATACCGGTCCTAATTTTACTTGCGCTGTTATTACAACATCAATTTGTTGTCAGAAGTCGTTATATTCTACGCGGACAAAGTCGCGGGTAACAACTAGTAACACATAAGTACAATAAAACTTTAGACGATTTGCAAAAGAACAAAGACACAATGCTATCAATAAAACTATTTGCAAAAGTTAGCGTACTTAGAAAAAAAATGATATATGTCTGAAGTTTGTAAGCAAATCTGGATGAGTTATCGTTATGCCCGACGGGTGAGCACGAGCATTTGTCAACAACATCGCCGGATTGCTATAAGCTTGCCTTTCGGGAATACTCGGCGAGGATAGTCCAGGAGACGGTGTCAGTTTTAGAATTATTGTTGTTTGTTTTGAAATGATGAAATGAAATGACATTTATTTCTGCAAATACATAGGTTACAAAGTACCACTTTTACTCGTCAATCTTTAATTTACTTAATGACTACTCTGAGAAGAAACGCCGAAACAAACTCAGAGGTCATTATCTCTTTTATTGACGACTCTGTGGTCTTTCGAGGGAAACCGAACCTTTTACCGGTTCGGTCAGAGATGTGTAATAATTACTAATTTGTTTACGAGTCTAGATCAACGATTGTATCCTCTATACTGTAATCAGTGGTAACCAAGATGACAGTCTTTCGTGTTCGTTCCCTTTGCGATGGCAAGCGACTGTGACGTATCCTATGAAATACGTAAACTGTCGTCTTACTTGTTGCTTTTATCTTACTATCCATGTCGTGTCAAAGTATAAAAAATACGATCGAATTCAACGAACGAATGGAGGGACAACTACCCCGTCTTCCCCAATCTCCCCAATACCTGAAACCCCAATAATCCTCAAATTCTTATCCCCAAAAGGCCGGTAACACAGTTGTAACGCCTCTGGTGTTCCGGGTGTCCATGGGCGACACCAATTGCTTACCATCAGGTGATCCGTGTGCACGGTTTCGGGCTTATCCCATAAAAAATCAAGAACTTTCTATATTTTTCTGAAGTCGGATAAAAACACGAACGTAACACTCTATTATTTATACGTCCATCTTTCTTTTTCTATACAAAATGCTACATGATACTCGTCCTGAAACAGGAATCTAAATATTATCGCTGGAACATGATTAATACATAAATTACCAAAGGCTTTAAAATTCTAAACAAGCGTTACTTTTACAAAATTTCAAAAGACATTTTCTGATGGTGTAGTTGATTATACAAGCGAGCTCCTAGACTACACACCCGAAATCCCTCGTAACAAATTGATAAAAATTCTTGCACATGTACCTCTCCAGAGTAATACTTCGACATGTGACGTTAATGTGGCAAATATTTATATTATCCAATACTTACCTACGTTTTTGAATGCTTCGTTAGACGTATAGTAATGCAGATCAAAGTATTTGAATTTACGTTCCATTATAATTGTTGGAGAGCCATGCTTCGGCACGAATGGGCCGGCTTGACCGGAGGGATACCACGGCCTCACAGAAAACCGACGTGAAGCAACGCTTCCGTTGTATTTCGTCGTGTGAGTGAGGTTACCGGAGGCCCAGCTCCCTCCACCCTTCCCCAATCTCCCCAATATCCCTGAATCCCCGACAATCCTCAAACTCCTAATCCCCAAAAGGCCGTCTGCTCGTTTACGGCATACGCCATAAAAAAAATCTATGTCTTCGGTCAAAGTATTTTTGTGTGTTTTAAATTCATAATTCTCAACATAAGATCTCCTCATTACAAATCCATATTGGACGATCCAGTTTCGTGTGAGGCCGTGGTATCGGGAGCCAGTCCATTCATTCCGACGCATCATCAATAACATTGACAGCCTACAAGTAGCCACTACTGACGAAAGGCCTCTTCTCACATGGAGAAGGTTTGCTCAATGCAGGTTGGCGATTTCAAACTTATAATTATAAGCCCAGATTTTCGCACGATGTTTCCTTGCACCGTTTGTCAGTAGTGTCTAAATAATTTTAGAAAGTACATATAACTCAAAAAAAGTTAACATCGGTGAACACACCTAATGCATGAGAACAGCGTCTTAAACCTTCGCACCAACACCAATTACAAATCCATGTTGGAGGATCCAGTTTTATGTGAGGCCGTGGTACCACTCCGGTCAAGCTGGCCCATTCATATCAAAGCATGGCGCTCTCAAACGCTATAATGAGAATGCTTAAGTTGGAATGGCGATTGGTATTCCTCATAAAATATGTAAATTCTTATTAAGTCATGAATGTTTTATAGCAGTCAAAATCTAGATCCAATCATTAACTATAGAGATGCACAAAAAATTCAAAGCAAAAATCATATCGCGATTCGCGAGGCTTATCACTGAAATTACTAGTATCCATGTTCCCTCGAGTGTGAAAAATAAAATAAATTCGAGCCGTAATAAAATTTGCGAGACGAAGCGAGGCGAGACGAGACGAAACGAGGCACGAGGACGAGGCGTGTCAAAGCTTAGGACTACACTACACTTGATTTAGCGAGGCATTCCGCGTTCGGCTAATTTGTGTACGTCCCGTGCCTTGGAATAGAGAATAATGTATTACTAGATGCGGCCAAACCAAGATAGAAGCTATAATTTAAGCCACGTTACCGATTGGTTTTTATGGCTTAAGCCGGTAATCGAGCAGACACCCTGATGGTAAGCAATCGGCGTCGCCCATGGACACCTGGAACACCAGAGGCGTTGCGCGTTACCGGCCTTTTGGGGATTAGGAGTTTGAGGATCGTTGGGGATTCAGGAATCAGGGAGATTGGGGAAGGGAGGGTAATTGGGCCTCCGATAACCTCACTCACACGACGAAACACAACGCAAGCGATGCTTCACGTCGGTTTTCTGTGAGGCCGTGGTATTACTCCGGTCGAGCCGGTCCATTCGTGCCGAAGCATGGCTCTCCCACACGTCTCTAACATTTTTTCTTCATTTGAAAGTTCTGTCTGTCAGTGTGTTTGATGATGTCTGATGACGTTACCTCCCATCTTTTACTATGTACAAATTTCTCATTTCATACCAAGGACGTCAAAAAAATACGGACGTAGTCTCTTGAAACAATGACTGTGGCATCTGGCTACTATAGACTTACACGAAGAATACACACACATTGACACGAAGGACATCTGTCGCGTTACATGGCTTTACAATACGGTGTTGCAAGTACACGCACACATAATTAGGTACTTGCCAACTAGTCAAATTCAATATTTATTTCGAACCGTCAAAAACAAAAGTTATCTATGAATTTTGTACGAGATTGTGTATTGTGACGTCACGTTTTTTTAGCGTCAAACAGCATACTTATTTCTTAAAAATTTGCTGATAAAATACTAAAATTAAGTTAGTCATAAAATCAATTAATGAAAGTGTGATTATCACTACATAGTATAAAACAAAGTCGCTATCTGCCGTCCGTCTATCCCTATATATGCTTAGATCTTAAAAAACTACGCAACGGATTTTGATGCGGTTTTTTTAAATAGATAAAGTGATTTTTAAGGAAAGTTTATATGTACATACAACGACC